TATGTTGTCTTTATTAAGGAGGGGAAAGATGTAGTAATTTGCATGTCAATGAACTTCTAATAGATGTGTCTACATAATTACAACTGCCCTGTATTTGACCATCTGGTTAGTTATGTAACTCTCTTTATATAAAGGCTGTACATAGACAATAAAGTTAGTCTGTATTGGTGATTGCTGCGTGTGTGCTTGTCTCTTTCTCTGGTCTGCAACCATGAAGTATTACAGTTGTGTATCGAAATTGTCCACTTATACAACCTCAGACTAGTAATACAATTGCATGAACTGTTTTTGTGTTTATTAGCTTGTTTCTGTTTGTGTAGATTCTACTGCAGGGAATTTATGTTTTACACACAAGAAAGGAAATCAAAGAAAGCTTAGACAGAACTCCCGTGTGCTGAGGGAATAGGGATCATGATGTAATATTCGGGAATATTTGAAAATGGTAAACAAATTATGAATGATCTATTAAATAAGGAGCCACCAGTAGTCATCTACACACATAGACATCGTATACCTACAATAAGCCTACTTAAAAATATGCATAAAAAGTCTACACAAAATTGAAACATTAAAAAGAAAACTGAAATAATTCATAAAACATTGAGGAAAATGAAATGCAACGAAAATAGTAAACAAATAAATGCCCAAAATAAACTTATAGGGCATTTAAAAATATTTTAGAAATTTAGTTAACACGGAAAACGAAAAGTAGCAAGAGCAACTATGTAAATTTAAAACAATCACAATCTAAATATCTAAAATTCAAACCACTATCTTAATATCAATATTTATTTATTTATTTATTTATTTTATTTATTTTCAGTTATGTATATTAATAAGGAAGGCATCACAATCTTTTCGATTGGTTCGTATATCCCAAAAATCGACATGGTAAAACTACAACCATCGTACAGCTCAGTACCATAACAAATATTAATAATTTACGGCAGACGTACTTCTCGGTACATAAAATTCACACACACACACACACACACACACACACACACACACAGACAGACTAACTGCAAAGACTTCCTTTTTGTGCTTCGCACACGGGAGTCAATAAAAAAAGCACGTTACTGACTTTGTTATTAGTACTTCATTTTATACATTAGTACATGTATGTCATATCATGGATGTACTAACATCCATGGTCATATGTACCACTTCCTGTTATTGTGCTGTTGCTACGGTCAGCATTGTATTGTTTTATTTCTAAAGGGGTGTGCTTGTATTATGATTCATTAATGAATCTTCTATTCAAAGTCAGACTTCTCCAGAATTGACTTCCTGTTCTTTGTTTGATTTTTTTTTAGATTTTTCCAACACAAATGATGAAGGGAATGAAGGTGAACAGGAGAAAGTCATTGACTTAGACACGAACTGAGTTGAAACAACTGATGATGAGGGTAAGTTATTTTCAATACAAATATGACTGAGTATAATAATAAAACTGATGATTATCACATGGTACGATCTGCCTTGTAGTACAATTTTATATATAGTTTTCTCTGCATGTAGGTCATCAGAAATCTATTCCTCTCAAGAAAAGAGTGCTACTGATGGAAGATAGTCCATTAGATGATCTCAAACATGGCAAGTTTTATTTTCACCTTTATTCAAGTATTAAAAGGGGGTGGTGGTGGTATACTGTAAAATACTAAGCTGGATTTAATTTTCGTTAAATAGAGTTTTTCGGTGTTTTGTTTTGAATTTATTTTCACTGATTTTTGACAAGTTTATGGTAAAATGTAAGAAAAAAAAGGTATATTGGCTGGATTTTATTTTTACTGAATCATTCTTTCAACGAAAATTAATTCAAAGCGAAAATAAAGTATTCCACAGAACTTATTATAATTGATTTTGTTCCTACCAAATGTAAAACATTATCCAATTTTGTTTTTAAAGATTTAGTATGAAGCATTTCTACGCAATCATATCCCTTATGTATATACATGTATAAGAATTCCAATGCCGTTAAATTGAAAGTTATGGGCAACTGTACATCAGAATCACTGGTAAGCAGCGACAGCAAATGTTGAGTGAAAAAAAGGATAATATATTTTCTGTTAATGTGCCAGCTAATTTTCCACAGAAATTATTCATTTTAATATTTAAAATATTTATTTTAAACATTCTCATCTGTTAACAGAATCAAAAAATGCCAAAAGGATCGTGAAAGTAAATTGGAAAGGAGCATGGAATCAATGTTCGGAAATTTGGTGGATTTAGAGGAGAAAAGTTTCAGACAAATGCAATGAATGGAAAAGGAACGCGAAGAGAAAGAAAATGCATGATTTCAATTGATGATGGACAGGGAAGATGAAGCCAGAAAAAAAGACCGGGATCAGCAGAATAATTTATTCAGTATGATTGTTGATGTCATGAGAGATAAGAACACTAACTCCAGCAGAAGTCCTCGAAGAATGCATTCCCCCGACAGATATCCACATGAACCTATACCGGAACAACCTAGACACAATCCACCAATAAGAGGCCAGCGTCCAGTACCAGCTTACATGTCTGTACCACAACAATTCAGACATCCGCCTGCTGTACCACCATATGCATCCATGCCACCAGATCTGGGGGATTATAAGCAGAGTACACCAATGGTAGGGCGTGCTCGAGCCCCACCGCCGGCACCAATCCAGCAACAAATTTTCCGTCCTGGGTCAACTGTTGGCTATTTTGAGCCTGAACCGCAGTTGTCCCCTATACGTGTACACAGCAGTGAAAGACTCTCTCAGATGGGTTGTTGGTAGACTCTATGAATTTAGCCAACAGTAAATACAGTCCAGGATATTGACAATCTTATTTCAACTTGTCAAAGTTTTTTGTTACTTTTTCCCCTATTGCTTTAATTTTTTGGGGAAAAATATGAATTTACATTTACTGGCAAGGAGCTCATTTATGTTTTGCAGTATTCAGCTTTGTGGTCATTATTTGACTTTTATAAAATTGTCTTTATTAGCGATTAAAATTTTTTTACACCTTTTTGTAACTTCTTTCATTATTGATATGCTTTTCTTTTAAAACCAAATAAAGATAATTTTACATATCTTTGTTGTCTTTCTTACAAGCAAGCACATTTCCTTGGACCAAGTATTTTGAGAGGGTGGAAATGCACTGAAAGTACATCAAAATAAATCATTATAGAGATTGAATACTACTGTTTTATTTAAAAAAGTATTTTATTAAAGTATTAACTCACAGTTTAAAAGGACAACATTTGGGTATGTTGAATAATGCCACAAATAAAACAAAGCTGGCAGGTCTGGCATTACTTTTTAAGAATACTGCGCTCACTATTAGTAGAGCTTTGCGCTTACACAAATTACATCATCTATGGCTAAAATAAGTCATATTTGAATGATATAAATAGCTCTTCCAAGTTTGGTGACATGCTGAGAGTTCTACTGTTGCGCGAAATACTCTTGAAGTGCATGTCTGACATGTGCCCCTGTGGTGTCAGCTGGACGATGATGAGGTATATTTGGCAAATCTAATTCATCAACACCGGCCAACAGTTGTGGGTTGAAAGGTATAATATTTTCCTCACAAATGTTGTGTAATATGCAACAATCCATGACAACTGTAGAACTGTTCTGTAACCTGAAATCACTTCTTTTCAGCAATACTCGCCATCTACCTTTCAATCGTCCAAATGCATTTTCAACTATCAAACGAGCACGGCTGAGTTCTTTGTTGTAACGGCCTTGTTCTTGAGATAGCCTACCATTATCAGAGTAAGTAATGTCGCTATGGATTAGGACAATGTCATCAACCTTGACCACGCTGTGTTTCGTTCCCTTGGCCGAATGGCGTTCACGAAGAACGGTGAGGTACTCCGTCGATCAGCGTCTCCAGAATTGCGTATGTAGTCGAGAGAGGTGTTCATAGCGTTTGTTGACATGTTGATGATCGTTGGATCTATAAGTTCCTCGTCAGTTACTGCGATATATGGTAACTGGGTCATCGTCCTTCCATGAAGAAGGTGGTTTGGGGTCAGCGCAACCTTGTCATCGAGACTTGAGGAAATGTAAGTTAACGGTCTGTCATTGAGCACGGATTCAACTTCAGTAGTGACTGTGGTTAACTCGTCGAACATAATAAGTGACCGTCCCAATGTTTTCTTTATTACGTCCAATCAATCTTTCCCAAAAGCCACTAAACCATGGGGCACGCTTAGGAATGAATGTTCATATCACACAGTGAGATGCTAAGAATTCTTTAATATCGGGATTGTCAATTAATGACCTTATTTCACCGGCGGAGGAGAGAAACATAGAGGCATTATCCGATAATAATTGACTCGGTAGCGAACGACGCATGGAAAATCGTCTAAAGGCGTGTATGAATGATCCTATTGACATATCAGGTACAAGCTCCAGGTGAATCGCTCGAGTGACAGCGCAAGTAAACAGGCATATGTATGCTTTGCTACGTATTCCTTCTGTTGATTTCGTAAATAAATGTCCCGTAAAATCGACACCTGTTATAGTAAAGGGCGGTGTAATATTGACGCAATGGTGCTGGTATCGGATTGGCGTAAGGTTTACCAGTGACCTTGTTACAGGTTACGCACTCGTGAATAACTTTGCGTACAATTATCCGTATTTTAGGTATCCAGTAACGTTGGTGAATTTGGGTCACAGTAGACTGGACCCCTTCGTGCATGAGTAGTTCATGAGCTTTCATAATCACAAGATTTGTAAACTTATGATGTGGAGGCAGTAAAGCAGGGAATTTCGTAACAAACTGTGAGTTGTGTATGCGGCTACCACAACACAGGGTGTCTTCGTTATCCAGAAACAAGTTCAACTGTTGAACAATGGAGGCATGTTTATGATCGCGTAATCAGAGAGAATGTACGACGTCCCCATAATTAGTGCGTTGTAGGTCAGTGACCCATTTCTTCTCCGCCATATTGATTTCTTCGGTAGACAGTTGAACGTTGTTATTGTTTGATGACCTCTTTAATTTGTTTACAAATCGAAGTATGTATGCGGTTATTCATAGTAATTTATCCAGTTTGTTATAGTTGTTTATATCCACAATGTTATGTACGCCAATATCGTCCGAAACTGGGTCAGAACCAGTATTATTGTCGCACGTAACAATATTCCGGGAAGGCGAATATAATAATAATATAAAATGACTACTTAATCCCTCCATGGGTAGTACCGGGTCATTTTCGGTGGTTTCAACAGCGGAATGCAGGACGTCTTTGGCTGAATATAATCCAGGGGTATAATGACTACTTAATCCCTCCATGGGTAGTACCGGGTCATTTTCGGTGGTTTCAACAACGTAATGCAGGACGTCTTTGGCAAACAGTTTAGCCTTTATTAACACCGGAGTTAAAAATCTAAGGGGGTCAAACAGAGAAGCAGTAAAGCTGACAACGTCTCACTTGGTGATTAATTGTGACATTGTAAGAATGTTATTAGGTTTAAAATACGTTAGTGTGTCTGCGTTTGTATTCCAATACATACCGAGAATAGACACATTTGCCACGGTATCTGCTAAATTATCTGAGGCGGTGCGGTCTTTGATGAGTTGACTGTTCGATGTCCATGACTGCAACTTGAAACCACCTGTGTTCATGAGATCATTAGCTTCTTCATCGTATTGTATGGCCTCCTTGTTGTCATGAACACCGTCAATTACGTTGTCTACGTAAATATTAGTCGCGAGTTGACTGGCTGTTGCATCTAGGTCAGCTTCGGCTAAGTGAGATTGAATCACTGCGTTTAATATGAATGGTGAGCATACTGCTCCAAATGAGACCGCATCAAATTGGTAGGTAATGAAATCACTTTCCGGGTCATTAGTGTCCGAGAGTCATAAAAATTTTGTATACTTTCTCTCGTCTGCATCAAGTCGAATGTTCAAAAATGCCTTTTCGATATCGCTAGTTAAAGCAATGTTGTTAGCTCGAAATCTTAGCAATATGCTCGGCAAATTGTTTATCAACAAAGGGCCAGTCTGCAAACAGTTATTTAGACTGAGGCTGTCCGGAGAGGCTTGACAAGAACAATCGTAAACAATACGAATGGGGGTCATTGCAAAATCCTTTTTAACAGCGTGGTGCGGTAAATAGTGCCATTATCTGGATCGGGGTCATTGACCTCAGAAATGAAACCGCGTTGTTTCTGTTCGCTAATAATGTCATCGTATTTTGCAATAAGTTCCGGGATGAGTCGATGAATCATACTCCGTGTGTGGCGCGTTGTCACGGCATAGTTTGTTGGAAATGGTGGGTGGTCTTCTTTCCAAGGTAATTTGGCAGTGTATTTCCCTGTGTCGATCGAAAGATACAAGTCCGTATAGGTTTCCAAAGTTAACAGTTCATCAACTTCCGGGTTGTCTT